CCCTTGCTCCTCGGGGATGCCTGGTGCCCTGGCTCCACACGGAGCTGGGAGTCTTCCTGAGAGAAATGCTCTTGTTTGCTGTTTGCCAGGGCCTGGCAGCACTGACTTCTCCTGGCTTCTGTGGCTCCTCCAGCCACACTCTGCTGGCCAAGCCACCACGCTTCTTCTGGAGCAGCTCTGGTGCCCTCTTCATGCCCTTGGTTGACCTTAGACTGGGTCTTTTTTCCTCTGCTAATCTTTTATGCTCCTTCTATATTTTTTTCTTTGACTCGTCACTGAGTTGCTCTGAGACAGTGGTTCCTTGCCATGTCCTGTATGGGCCCCGACTGACCCTGTTTTTCACCAGTTGTACCTCACAACGGTCTGATGTCACTGGCTTTTGCAAGACAGTTGTGTTCGTTCTGAACACGTTCATGTCCTGCAGTTCAGCACAAGGTCCCAGGGAGATCCCAACTTTTGATTTCAAGTTGATGTAGAAGACATAACCCCTTCTGTGCTCACTGCTTCATCCCATCAGCTGTAGGAGATGACTCAATGTCTCCCACAGCGTTCTTCAGCCGTAGAATAAAATGCTCTGTAGAATAAGTGTGTATTGGAGAGAAAGGTGTGTCACCTCTGGTCTTGATTTAGAGGCACAGAGATGTTCTTTCTCTGTTGAATTTCCACTGGCAGTCTACCTCCCAGTTCATCCCAGCCTCTGGCTTTGATCCAGAGCTGGTCAGTTCCTCCTCAGTGGGTTTCACAGTGCTTAGAGCAGGTTGTTTTTGGGGCCCTGTTACAGGTCATGGGAAAAGGGGCTCTATATTAAAAATATTTTTAAAGGGGAAGGTCAAGAGGCAGGTTTGCTAACTGGCATCATTTGTCAGTCTGTACTGAATGTGAAGCAGTGTGTTGTCCATTATATATTTGCGAAGTTTTAAGTTAAAATCCCTTGGGAGTTGGAGTAGCCCCTTTTTAGATAATACTGGAAAGCAGTGACTGACTTGCTCGTTAAATGTCTAAGGAGTGGGATTTTGGCAAAAGTCTTTGGGTGGCTTAGAAGAATGAGAGAGAATTGATGCCGAGTTAGCGTTAACCCCAGCATGGGCTACAGCTGCAAATTCATTAATCTGTTGCGTGAGCTGTGAAGTAAGTATGTTTGGTCAGGTCTGGATTTTAACCGAAGCAGGAACACGCAGCCAGCTTAGAGAGGAAAAGTTCACGGTAGCTAATTTTAGATATCTAATTTAGATGTTCTGGATCTCTTTGCATTCTCCATTACCTAAACAGAGGGCACAGAGGCTGATACCGGTGTCAGTTAGAAATACCTGGTATGGAGCCTTTGTGGGTTTAAATTAGTTTGCAGGTCTGAGCATGCTGTCATCTTAGAGTTCTAACAGATGTTGGTCTCTGGTTTTGACACTGACTCTGTCCTCACACATCGGGGTTTCACCAGGGGGAAAGTGAGTTGCCTTTCAGAGGTTTCCACGATTACCATACACATCTGTTACTCGGGTTGCTATGAGAGGGGCTTGTTTAAGCATTTTGTTCTTAAGAAAGAGAGGAGTTCCAAGCTAACAGAAAGCTTTCCGTGGAGCAGCCCACGCACCCTGGGTGTATGTGGTAATTCCTTGCCCATCTGCAGACCTGAGCAGGGGATGGGACGCTACCTCAGAGAAATGTGGTGGCTTTGGAACAGGGAAATAGTGTATCAGTTCCACAGGGAGAGAATTCTTATTTCTGATAGAAAGTATATTTAAGAAATGGTTAACATTACGTACAAGGGGACGTGTACATTCTTTTTACTTTCTTGGGGTAAAAAGTGTGAGCAGGATTGAGTGGGAAATCAGTGGGCTAGAAACTGCTCTCTTCAGAGCCACCTACACTGTCCATCACCTCCTGAGAACCATTCATTTATACCATAGGAAGGACAGGTGTTAATATTGATAATCTGATTTTAGTGTACCAATAATCTGAGTGTTCCTTAACCTTTCAAAGAGAGGAACAGAGATCCATTCACATGATGACAGATTTTGGGTCGTTGTTTAAACTGAGGCTTTTTGCTTCTTGTTTTAACCCCGAGGTTCAGCGCAATGTTCCTGCTGTGCTTAGTGGGCAGGTACAGTTCTGGCAAAGTGGATCTTCATGGTAAGGGGAAAGAAGTAGCTTTTCTATATGTATTTTTGGATTGAATGCACATTGTACCACTCTAAATTTTTTGTTTACTTATACGTGTGTATAAAAACACATATTATTTAAGGGTGTGTGTGTATATGTGTATGCAGTATATCTTAAGGTTTTATCAGTGTTGTACTACTAGAAGCTCATAATTCTAAGTCATTTTCAAAGTAGGAGATCAATTAGTACTGATGAAACCTTTATACCATATGCTCTGTTCTGTAGGTAACTACTTATTGTTGTAAAATCATTTTAGCAGTTTGGAGAGCGGAAGGATTGTTTGGGGGTGTTCGTGTTTTCTTCATAGTCTGTTACGGGAACAAATGGCCATGTACCAGAAATTGGCTACAAAAGGTAGAACTGCTGTAAAGAGAGTAGAGGGGTAATTTCTGTTCTGCCGGTGGTGGTAGTGAAAAGCCCAAGGAGTTTCCTGCTTAATTACCTGAGCGATGGGGCAGGTTTGCAAAGAGCTCTGTGGCTGGGGGCTTGGGGACTTGAGGTGGGGTCGGGGGTGTTGGGCTCCTCAGTGGCTTGTGAGGGTCACTTCAGAGGGAGAGGAAACTGGGTAGAAACTAGCCATGCTGTTAACTTTGTTAACTGTTAATGCTGTTAACTTTGAGTGGTAGGTGGGCTGAGAATGATCAGTGTTTCCAGTACATGCAGCAATGGCATGGGTTTGTTCTTGTGTTTTGGACTTGAGGATTTGGGATTAGCCATCACCCTGTTCTTTACCAAAATGGGATCTTTTTATCACCTGTTAAAGAAGGGTGAATATAAAAGCAGACATGTCCAGAAGCACATTAGTAATGAGATTTTGGAGGCTGGGGACTACAGAAAGTTTGGGGTTTTTTAAATAATTTTTAAATCAAAGAAGGTAAATCATGATCTTTATACACTAGGAAAAGGCTGTTTCAAGGGCATCTGTTAATAAAAGATGAAATATGAATTATAAATCAGGAAAACTGATTAGACTTCCTAATCACCGTCCTCCTAAGAGGGGGGGATTATTGAAAGGAATTTAAAAGATAGCACATCAAAATCAATCCAGGAAGGTAGTTTTCAGCTAGTCTCCAATTACAAACTCTGAAACTTACTGATACCATATACATCAGCTGTTACAGTTTTTATAGCAGCGCAGTGTAATGAATATTGGCATGGCTGGCCAGCAGCAGCATGGACATGTGTTTACTTACAATTTTATGCCGAGTGGTTTGTTGGTTTTGTTACCATATGCCCCAAACCTGTGACAGACATTTATAGCCCCTTATCTCTCTGCCCCTTGGTTAGAGATTGTTTAATGGCAATTATTTCTTTATTGCCACCTCCAAAGATTAATTGTGGTGGTGAATACATGCTGGTTGTTTTCAGGGTTCAGTCCCAAGGGCAGTTACACCTTTTCCTTTGCACTCCTGTTGCTCCAGCGGCAGTGTCCCTGTCTCTCGTGGCTGTACCTGCTGGTGCTTCTGTGCAGAGCTGCTCCAGGAAGCTCAACTGGAAGAATTCCCTTTCTTTCCTTTTTTTCATTTTTTTTTTTTTTTTTTTTTTCCTTTTGGCAGATTTTACAGGCAGAGAAAGAAAAACAGGAGCAACACCTCCAGTTTCAACTGTCTGAGCTGAAGGATAAACAGGCCAGGGAGATGCAACAGCTAGGTTGGACTATAACAAGTGACAGATATTGAAGACCAAATGTTTGTCTAAACCGCACCACACACGTGACCATGATGAGAACGTGCACATGGGCACTGTATCTTAGATATTTGCATTTTGAGATTAGTAATTTCTTTATTTATCTTATCGTTCTCTGTGCAAGAATAGTGAAGTCATACAGTTCAGCAAGGAGGCTAACGCACAATGCACACAACATGGAAATACCTGGACCCCAGATCTGTTATCAAGATAAAACAGAAATACTGCAAATTAGTACCAAAAAGCAAATCCACCCATAAACGTTTATAGCAGCGCAGTGTAATGAATATTGGCATGGCTGGCCAGCAGCAGCATGGACATGTGTTTACTTACAATTTTATGCCGAGTGGTTTGTTGGTTTTGTTACCATATGCCCCAAACCTGTGACAGACATTTATAGCCCCTTATCTCTCTGCCCCTTGGTTAGAGATTGTTTAATGGCAATTATTTCTTTATTGCCACCTCCAAAGATTAATTGTGGTGGTGAATACATGCTGGTTGTTTTCAGGGTTCAGTCCCAAGGGCAGTTACACCTTTTCCTTTGCACTCCTGTTGCTCCAGCGGCAGTGTCCCTGTCTCTCGTGGCTGTACCTGCTGGTGCTTCTGTGCAGAGCTGCTCCAGGAAGCTCAACTGGAAGAATTCCCTTTCTTTCCTTTTTTTCTTTTTTTTTTTTTTTTTTTTCCCCTTGGCAGAGGGGGACACCCAGTTCAGGTTCCTGAACGCACTCCAGGAGCACTCAGCTCAGGGGAGGGCAGGTTTCCCCCTGCCTCGCTGTGCTGGGGTGCTGCCCCACAGCCGTCCCACAGATCGCCCACTTGTGAGATGATACTGGCCTTTGGAAGCTCTGTGCAGGCCTGGTTCAGTATTTACTGTCAACAGGTAGAATACAGTTTGGATTCTTAAAATTGCATGCCTTCTCTTGTAGAATTGAAGGCCCTTGAAAGCTTAAACTATGAAATGAGGAAGTGTTTCAGATTGCAAATAACATTTTGTTAGGCTTTGAAACATGACGTAATTTCTGGATACTGGTGATGTACATCAAGAAGTTGTGCTGTTGCATTAATACAAATTGTAATTTTGTCTTGTGTTCAAGTCTTGAAACATCTTGATTTGCTTTACACATTAAAGTGCTATTTTATTTCTGTTCTATTTACAGCTGATATTATTTCAACAGTTGAATTTAATTACTCTGGTGATCTTCTTGCAACAGGAGACAAAGGTGGCAGAGTGGTTATATTTCAAAGGGAACAAGAGGTCAGTGACTTGAAAAACAAAAGTGCTGTTACTACACTGTTCTTGTGTTGCACAGTCTCACTTCACCTGTTCATGCTGTGAGGTTTAAAAGGCTGGATAGTTTTCTCAGAAACGCTAATTTTTCCAAATTTCTAATATCTGCCATGTGCTGAACTTGATAGGTTACTCTGGTGGATCCCATCTCCCCCTTTCAAAAAAAAAAAAAGTCCCCAAAATACAAAATGTTGTTTTTATCTGTACCTGGTCTGCTCAGGAGCATTTTGCAGAATTGCCTTTGGGCTTTCTCCTAAACTTTGCACTTGGTCAGGCTGATCTAAGGCAAATAGTAATGCTTTTGAAGAGAATGCAAGCAAAGTTTATAAAAAAGGATGCGTATTAAGTGGCAAGGACAACAGGCTAAGGCAGTTCAAAAACTGAAGAATTAAACATCTGACATGTTTTAGGATCCGGTGAATCAAAACCAGTAGGAACAGCTATTTCTCCACAACCACTTGACTGTTTTCGGTTCATAAGGCTCAGGTGATGGTGTTCAGTGGAGTGAGGATGCTGTTACATGTTCTGGCCATTCTTCAGTGCAGATACATCACTGAGCTTTTTATAGCCAGAGAAGTAGTGTCTACTGGAAAAGTGCACTGTATGCTCAAAAATAATTGTTGTGCCTTGTTATGTCTGGGAGGAATCTGGAATCATGTTCTTTCAAAAGCCAACACTCCACATGGCAATTCTCACCCTCTCCCCCGCCATCCAAGAGCATCTTCATCCTTCCCTTTGAAGATAAGAATTTGAGCCTTTGGTTTGGAACCTTCTCCTGGATCAGAAATACCGAAATTGGTGGTGGAATTTTCATTCAGCTTGTTGGTGAAGGAAGTGTGTGAATCCTGAGGTGCTGTGTGGCTTTTTCAGCAGAATCCCACTTCTTTCATTGTGTGGTTCAAATGATGCTCAGTTCACAGACGTCCAGTATCTTGCATTTCTTTCTCACTGTGATACTGTTTATAAAATATGTTACCAATGGTGACTTACCTTTTACTGTATGGATTTTGAGAGGTAGTGAAATGACAATCCTGTTGCTGAGAAAGCTGCTGAAATGTTAGACTGCTGCACCTAGAGAGCTCCTACCTCATTTATCATTTACTCTCCCGGATAGACTTAACTAAGGCACAGGGAGATCAAGGTCAGAAGTGTCCACCCGCTCCCATCTCTGACTGCCTGATGCTTGTTTGGAGCAGAACTATTACTGGTTGGCTTTCAGCTGGTGGTGCCCAGTTGCTCTGAAAGTCAGAACCCAGCTGTCCCCTCAGGTCCTTGGGGGAGGAACCAAGTCAGACTATTGACCCGGGAATATTCCAGTCTGCTTGGGAGCACGTGCAAACTGGGAAGAACTGGGCTTAAGGATCATTTGTCTTGTGCAAAACTGCAGGATTTCTTGAGTGGAGGAAAAAATCTGAAATAAGTATATATTGCTGGAACCTTAGTAAAGTCCTACAATTAATATTTTTAAAGAATGTGGATTTTGGACTAGATTAACTACAACTTAGGATAGTTATAAAATTTCCCATACACTACTTTGGGAAGGCAGGCTGAAATGTGCATCGTGCCCTGACCTCGTGTGACATTTCAGTTCCAAGCTGGTTGTCACAGCCAAAGGTGCGAGCGAGGCGTGAGCCCACGGCCTGGGGCCAGACAGGGCAGCACCCTCCAGACACGGGTGGCTGGGTAGGGAGTGTGGGTGACCATTCTCAGTAGTGTTGGTTGGGAGGACTCTGTCCAAAATGCTTAAAAGTTAAATGACAAGTTGGGAATGCTCATACTCAATCTTGCTGTGCCTTCATCAGAATGACTTTGTGCAATCATGTTTTTATAAAAAACATATTTAATTACTCCATGTCCTATGTCCTTTAACGTGTATGTCCTAGTCTGGAAGCCCCACGTTGTGTCCATACTGTGTGATGAGGGGACTGAGTTTGGGAAAGGATGGGAATGGGGGTTAGGTGAAGTGTCTTTTTATATAAAGTCACATTTTTTCAAAAGTAAGTCTGTGTTACTGATGCTAAACTAAATACAGTATCATAGAGCAAAAATGTAAAAATCATCAAGATCTGTTGTAAAAAGTTTATTTTCTGATTGACAATTTTCAGTCATTAGTTTGAATGTACAATTACTAATGAACCAAGTAACATCAGCTTCAAGAACTATTGTGTTTCCTTGCAGAATAAAAGCCGTCCTCATTCTAGGGGAGAATATAATGTTTACAGTACCTTTCAGAGTCATGAACCTGAATTTGACTACTTGAAAAGTCTAGAAATTGAGGAAAAAATTAATAAAATTAGGTGGTTACCACAACAGAATGCTGCTCATTTCCTGCTGTCTACAAATGGTAAGGACACTTTGTTTTTGCACAAAGAACTTTTGCTGTCATTTGAATGTTATCTCACCTGTGATCCAATTGTGGGGTTTTTTCTGGAGTGTTTTGGGGTTGTATTGGTGTCTTCTCTAGTTATATATGCAAAATATGTTTTGATTGTAATGCTCTGTAAATTACTGATTTATGAATGTAAATATAATGAAGCAGCAACAGAATAGACAGAGCTGCGTTCTGGGGATAAACCGACCGTGCTCTCAGTTTCTATACCCTGTTACTCTGCTTTCCTGCTCCTGTATAAATGGGTTCCCAGGGTGCTGAACTGTAGCACAAATCCCAATTTCACTTGATCATCCTAATTTTGAAATTGATTTTTTTTGTGATCTCAGATGAATTTTTAATAAAAGCATTTGAAATTGAAACACTGTGGTTACAATGCTCTTTTTGCTTTTCCAATACCAGAACATCATGTGTGCTTTGACAAGCAACTGTTTAATAGCCAACAGTCACTCCAGGAGGAGATGTTCACACCATTTTCACTGTACCTTAGGATGCATAAAAGCAATGCAAAAATTACCAGTTGGAAATTACGAGTTTTCATTCACTTTGGATTTTTTATTTATTACTTCCAGTTTTTTAGTGGTGGTTCTTGGGCATTAGGTCTGTTTGATTTTGCTGCATCATGGAGCAAGCTGTAACTGTAAATTCCGAGCTGTGCATGGAAAAACTTGCTCATGCTGTCAGCGGAATAGTCTTGTTCTGACAGCTTGGGTCCCTTTTTGCCTTGTCCTTAAGTGACTTTATGTAAGGGTTACACCACATTTTAAATGTGGGACTGAATTTCGTCTACTGGACTTTGAAATTCAAACAATCTTACTTTGATTTAAGTGTTATTAAATTTTAAGCAGTCTTTAAAGTGTGTCACCGTAAGTGCTTTAAAGATACGCAGTAGCTTAGGGAGGAGAGGTGGATTTCCAGTTAGCTAAGGATCCCACTCCTGGGGTACACTAACTGGCTGCACTGGGACAAACTTCCCTTGGTGAGACCTGGGGATACAGAACCCCAAAATACTGGGGCGAGCCCTGGTCTCACTTTCTGCTGTGGTTGTCCCTTGGCAAACACCTGGGACAAAGCTGGCTTTCCATAAGGTACTTGGAGGAAGTAATTAATGGGGTGCTTGGGGATTTCCTTACCATTGGTCAATTAAAAGTCATATAGAGCTTATTGGTGAAGATTGGTGACTGAATTTCAGTAAACTTCCCTTGTGAAGGGTCGTTTTGGTGAGTGATGGTCATAGGCCCTATTGGTGGGAAGAAACTTGTAGTTTGTTGAAACTGAATGTTACATTGGAGTCAAAATGGAATCCATCTCTTTTCTCTTTCCATTTACTGCTATTTTCATGCCTTTCCCACCTGCACCCTCCTAGCATGTGTGTCTGGTATATTTTTTTGTTTGTTTTTCCTGTATCAGTGCAGCTGAACACTAGAGCTGGAAGGCACAGGACGTCCAGTCCCCGTGGGGCGGGGGGTGCTGGGGATTACCTTGTTGTGTAAAGCACTTCCTCAGGGTCCTTCCCGCTGCCAGCAGTGGAACTTGGGTGGCTAAATACATCCACTCTGCTGACCTCATTATTTAGTGATTTTATTTTACGTTTAATTCATTCTCAAGCATGTGAATTTTTGTTGGTTTTAGATAAAACTATTAAATTATGGAAAATAAGTGAAAGGGACAAAAGAGCCGAAGGTTATAATTTAAAAGATGAAGATGGAAGACTTAGGGATCCTTTCAGGATCACAGCACTACGGGTATGTTTCTGCTCTTTGACTTTAAATGTCTTTTTGCATGTACTTCTCTACCTTTGCACTACCAGAGTTGTCAACTGAAATGGGTGGATTAGAAATGATGCTTTGGTCAGGGTCATGGAGAACTTTTATAAAAAATGGAGAGACTTCTTTATGCAAATGTAATTGTTAAATAAGGTTCCTCTGGAAACTTGGGGCAAACTTTCATGATTATAATATTGTATTAAATTATTAGCTTCCTGATATTTTGGGTTGTTTGTCGGTTTGTTTCCTGGAACAACTTAGTATATTTAAAATTTATTTGAAATCTACACTGTTTTTTAAAACTAAAATATTTTGACAGAGACAGACTTCACCTCAGTCTATTTGAATTGTAGAAAAAGGTACACTGATCTATTGACAGCAACAAAATATAACAAAGTGTTGTTATTCAAGGCTGAAAGTGCAGCGTTTTGAGTATCTGGCTGGGGCTGTTCTGTTCTGGGTTCACAGAAAGCCAGCGCTGCTCCTGCTGTGTCCTTCAAATACTCTCATGACTCGGGCGACGTGAAGAGAAGTGCAGGGAAGCTGTGTCTTTGAGAGGCCGGTACCACCCTGAGTTCTGCTGTCAGAGCTGGTCTGTGGAGCACAGTGCACACATCGTAGTGATAATTCTTTCCCACCCACACCCCTCAACGTTGCTTATATTTAACTTGTTTGGTCTTTTTTCTAAGAGGACTAAAACGTGAGCAGGGTGCTGGGTAGAAGGCTGCTTTATGAGCACGTGGAAGATGAATGCTTGAATAGTCTTGACATTCTTGCACTTGCCCAGTGCTGCAGGGCAGGGTTAGCACCCCAAACTTGGGAGCATTTAAAGCAGAAGCTCGAGAAATGAAATAATGTGGCATTGTGGTTTTTCTTGAGTTTATGTTGTTGTTATTGCCATAAATAGGAATTGAACTGAGGCTCTCACTACTTTCTAGGGAGGAGAAGCAGCACTTGAGAGCTGTGCCCTTTGTGTAGGGACCATGGCATTCCTGAGTACGTTCCTGATAATTCACACTAATGCATTTTCGATCTCACAACCAGGCCAGGAACACTCGTGTGGCCAGATAGGAAAAGTGCATAATAAGAAGTAATGGATTAATTTTAATCATTACAGTTTGATGTAAACAGACGGTAAGATACAAACGTGGTGAAAGCAATGACAAAGCTCTTGGATTAATTTTTCTCTTGTTCCAGGAAGGCAGGTTATCTTGGACACTGTCACAACATTTTTCTTGGTAGGTTAGTGTTGTGTGGGGCTGTGTGTACGGAACAGTGCAGGACATCCTTGGGCAACCTTAAACCAGTCACTCGTGCCTCGGTGAGGGCCTGGAGGGGAGCTCAGGCCACTTGGCCCCGACAAACCCTGTCACCCTTGAGATCAGGTGGCTGTGGAAATCATGTGTTCCCAGTGCCCTACTTGACTGTTCAGGGATTTGCTCTGCAGACTGCTCCTGCCAATTTCACTCCTCTACGAGATGGGGGTCACGTCTAAGCGCTTGTTTCAAATGAACAGAATCTTCCAAGTATTGCTAGAAGGACACGCCGTTTCCCTGCGGTTTGTGCTGGCAGGATGGCAGTCACCTTCCATACCCTGCTGTATTACTTCTCTTGCTCGGTGCATTTGGAAAGTATTGAGTCACTAAATCAAAACAGAAACTGTGGTGTGCAATTAACTACCATCTTCTGAATTAGAAATGAGGTTTATGCCAAAATTGACTGTTGTTCTTCATGTTTCAGGTGCCAATATTGAAACCCATGGACCTAATGGTAGAAGCAAGTCCCCGAAGGATATTTGCAAATGCACATACTTACCACATAAACTCTATTTCAGTAAATAGCGATCATGAAACGTACCTTTCTGCAGATGACCTAAGAATTAACCTATGGCATTTAGAAATCACAGATAGAAGTTTTAGTATCCTTTTTTTGTTCTCTGTGAACACTGGGACAAGTCTAAGTTGTTTATGATCTGGAGGTTTAATACAGTGAAAGCAGGCCTAGGAATGCTCTCATTCTTTCTATGGAGAACTGCCAGTAGAACTATCATACCTAGTTTGATCTCTAAAGAGCAAATGAGCGATTTTGGGAGCATCCTTTATTTGTGGAGTTCAGCCAACTTAAGTCAGAGTTGGAAGATTTGAGCGGTAGATCCTTTGTTACTGTAGATACTACTTTCCAAAGTTAAAGGTCTTTTAAATGTTCAAATGACACTTCTAAAGAAAACAAATTTTAACTTTTGTTATGTCAAGTGATATCATCAACTGCAGAAATAATTTGAAAATCTCTTTGCAAGCATGTGTATCCAAAATTTATTTTCTATGGATTTGTCAATGTAGGACATACTATTAAAGTAAAATAAAATAGTGAATAATCTGCAGTAAAAGAAAAATTGCAGAAATGCTGGATATTAAATAGGTCATATGCAAGATTCTTTGAAGCTTTAGTTAAATAATGAGGTCTATTCAGTGTTCAATAGGAAGTGTTATGAAGGAGGCTTGAGAGGAGTCTTAAATTATCTGCAGCATCTGTTAAAGTTCATTTGTAAAATCTAGATGATTTTTTTTTTCTTTCATCTACTTGGGTCACTGTAGTTTGTGTGGATTGCATGCAGTGGAAAATAAGATGTTGCCCTGGTTTTGTCTGTTGTATTTTTAACATTTTTTAATAGTTATCCCTGGAAGTGGTTTGAGCGTGCAGCGTTACCTGCCTTTACAACCCCCCCCCCAGATATTGTAGACATTAAGCCCGCCAACATGGAGGAGCTGACGGAGGTGATCACGGCCGCCGAGTTCCACCCCCACCACTGCAACGTCTTTGTCTACAGCAGCAGCAAAGGCACCATCCGGCTGTGCGACATGCGCTCCTCCGCACTCTGCGACCGCCACTCCAAGTGTGAGTTCCCTGCGCCCGGGGGTCCTGCCAGGGACAGCCCATGGGTGTTGTGCTTGTACCTACCCACAGCCAGCTGGGAGGGCTGGGAGCTGTGTAGAATGGAACATTTTAATTGTCTTGTTCTAGGCCACCAACGAGCAGAAGTGTAGCATGAGACAATTGGCCATCTGACTCTGCTCCTCTTTACCCATTTATGCATCACAAAGTGATGGGAACAAGTGCTTTTGGCACCAGTGAGACCTGTCTTCTGTCCAGACTCAGTCTTGGTGCTTCTCAAAGGTATCTGCTTATCGAATGCCAGTTCAGGACAGTGTATTCACCTTTGTGCATTAGAAACCGGGCTGATGTTGCCAGAATCCATTTACTGTGTGACCCTTTGCAGCTCCTCACATAGAATTAATCCCTACGAGTATGTGCTGCGTTTGAAGGGAGTTTGCAGGGTGCTCTGTACCCTCCTGTGCCACCCCCCTCCCGCAGGGGAGGAGAGCTGGTGTGTGGATGCCCAAGCATAACTGCCCTGCCTCGCTCCCAGGCCCTTGGCTGGCCTTCCCTGGTGTGATTTATTGGGGTTACTGGTCCTGCGGGGTGTCCTATCCTCCTGGTATTTGCAGGTAAGCTTTGTGTAGTGCAGGCCAGGTGTTCCTGTTGGTGGAAGGAGGTACTTGTGCGGTGGGACATGCGGAATGCTGGGCCATGTCCTCTGTTTGACTTGGTGTTGTGTTAAATTACTTAAAAGCACTGTATTTTTAACTAATTGTCACTGACTAACATTCTGTTAAAAGGGGTCTATTCAGAAATGAAATACATAGTTCTGGGGAGCTCCAATCTTAACTCTTCAGGGTAAAGAGTTTATTTTCTTTATTTAAAACCATACCAATTGCATTCCAAGTGCAGATGGAGTATTTCCGTCGGTGTGGTGTCCAGCTCTGCTCAGATCCAGAGAAGAGCTGTGCCGTGGTCTCAAGGCGCGGGTGCTGCCTGAGGAGATGGCGTGTGGGACACTGGTGTCTCTGCTGCTGCTGGTGACCACGATGTGGAGATCGGGTGGAACGTTTATGTACCCACCTGCTGGGTTTTAGATGGTTTTTTGCTGTGACTGATCCCTGAGAGCTGTGAATTGTCTGTTGCTGGTGCCGGGCTCCAGCCCGTTGGAGACAGACACCCAGCAGTGATGACTGAGGGCGCGACATTGTTTAAAAACAACTTATTTTTTAAAAGTCTTTGACAGCTACTTTCTTCAGAAAGAAACTAGTGTATTGAGTTAAAACCTTCCTAACACAGAAAAATGTTGGAAGCTGTAAAACTTGGTGTTGGTTACATTTGTGATTGTGTCTTCTCTCTGCAGTTTTTGAAGAGCCTGAAGACCCTAGCAGCAGGTCGTTTTTTTCAGAAATAATCTCGTCGATCTCCGATGTCAAATTCAGCCACAGCGGTCGCTACATGATGACACGAGACTACCTCTCTGTCAAAGTGTGGGATCTCAACATGGAGAACAGGCCCATAGAGACGTACCAAGTATGGCATCTGTGTCTTCTTAAATAGCCCTTCTTTCCCCTGCTCTACTTTGTCCTTATATCTAATGCCACTTTGTGTGTTCCCAAAGGTCCATGAGTATCTCCGGAGCAAGCTCTGTTCCCTCTACGAAAACGACTGCATCTTTGACAAATTTGAATGCTGCTGGAACGGTTCCGATAGGTGAGCTGGGGGTGGGCTGTGCCCCTTCAGCAGAACTTGACTTTGGGGATGGAATTCCTTACATTCCCATCAACTGGGTGGGCCTTGGGGGAATTTTTTGTTGTTGTTTTGGTGGTGGTGGTTTTTTTTCCAAAAGGTCTTCATTGTTCAATCCTCCCCCCTCCAGCTGCAGAGGTGGAATAAATTCCGTGTGTCAGTTTGCTTCCAGTGGGAATTATTCCTCAAGTTTCTATGTGTTTTTTTTTTTTCAAGCAACTCCAGTCAGTCTTTTCTGGAGGGGTAGAACAAGTCGAAGTGAGGCCTTCTCATTTTAAGGGGTGTTGCCGTGGAAGCTGGGATGCTCCCCAACTTTGAAATGGAAAAAAATGCTTGGCTGGGGGCACTGGGCAGCGCGGTCCAGTGGGAATGGTGTCGCAGGAGCTGTTCAGCACAGTGAGGACAGTGTGTGAGGGGGAGGAGGGTGAGGAGGCTGGCATTGTAACAATCCAAGAGACTTCTGCCATGTGGGAAACTGCTCTTCCACTTTCAGCTGCTGAGGATAGGTGTTCAGTACAGGAAATCAGGAACTCAGCCTCAAGTTGAAGCGTGTTTTTTGGGAGCTACAAAGCAGCTGGTCATTGCAAGTCAGATACCAGAAAGCATTTTCAGATGCAGGTTATTTTCTGCCTTGTTCAAAAGCAAACTTGGTTCTGGGCAGACTCTGCCGTGTTCATGTGGGGCCATGTCAGATGCTCCCACGAGGGCTTGCTTTTGCTGATTCAGGATGATTTTTTGTAATTAATCCCTTGGGGTGCTCATGGTCCTCCAGGAAGCACTTGGATTTGTGGTAGTCCCTTGAAATTCAGCGTTTTAGGTTGGTTTTGCTTCCAGCATGACACCGAGGGGCAGAGCAGTGCTGGGAGCCCCCCTTTGCTCCCGGGGGGGATGTGAGGGCGTTGGTGGGTGCTGGGGGCAGGAGAGGGGACCAGGGAGGACCCGGGAGAGAAAGTGATAAAGCGCCAGAGTCAGAGGGGAAGAGACACTGATGCCACGTCCTGGCCACGAGCCGGGTCTGATGGTCACGGTGTGTGTGAGGGACTGGTCAAATCTTTGCCTTTTCTTCTGCTTCCAACCAGTGCTATCATGACTGGATCCTACAACAACTTCTTTAGAATGTTTGACCGAAACACGCGGCGGGACATCACCCTGGAGGCCTCTCGGGAGAGCAGCAAACCCCGGGCCATCCTGAAGCCCAGGAAGGTCTGCACGGGTGGCAAAAGGAAGAAGGACGAGATCAGCGTTGACAGTCTGGACTTCAACAAGAAGATCCTCCACACGGCATGGCATCCCGTGGAGAACATCATTGCTGTAGCTGCCACCAATAACTTGTATATATTCCAGGACAAAATTAACTAAAGGTGACTTGCTGGAGGACGGCGCCGTCGTCTTGCATAGTTGAGCTCGGTTGTTTGTCTGTAACAGAGAAGGCCTCGTTGTCCTCCCGGTGAAGAACATTGATGCACTTCCTTCCCCCTAGCGAGAGGCGAGGGCCTGGCCTGGCTGTTGGGTTCCTGGCTGGTTCTGGCTGGTGGGGCCGGGGCGGCCGGCGCAGCTTCCCGGGAGCGACCCTCGAGGGGCAGAACCGATGGATGGGGCTCAATGAGGCCAATACTCGAAACAAATGTATTTATTGAAGTCTGAGCCTTCCTTTCCAGTTTATAGACCAAAAAAATTTAACACCCAAGAAGAAAAAATTGTCATAAAAAATGTACTTTCTATCTCTCGTGCTCTTTCTCTGCTGTAATATTTGGGCCTTTCAAAACATATATTGTGCTTCACGCCTGTAAACATTCCTCCTCTGCCCGCGGCCGGGCTTCGGTGTTTTTACCTTCGAGCACTTCGGTAGGTCTTGAGTTGGGTTCGTAGACAGGTTTCCATGGATATTTACTCACCAACTGTATCTATAACCACACCTTCTGGTGTAAACCACTTAATAAAATAACAAGCTATAAAAAGTGTTTTTAAATCTGAAGGTATGTATTCAGTCTTTTTATTTTTTTATTGCATGTACTGAGATTGTGCAGAATAATCCTGGGGGGCAGATGTTTAACCTGTTTGCCCCAAAGCGTTGATTTTTGGCAGACTAATACAAACATTTTTATGTAGTATTTCGAATTCTAAATTTAGAGTTTCCATGAAATTGTCATTTAGTTCGAGTTGCACTGGTTTTCTTGTCCCATGCTCTCTGTGTAGCAGGCAGGAGACGGAGAAGGTCGGGATAAACCATCCAGAGCCTTAACCGGGAGTGACGCCCTGCACGGGGGGGAAAGCCCCACCCCCCGCTGCTTCTCTTCTTCCAAGATAAAAGTTGAGTTTCTCTGATGCCTCTCAGTGGTCGATAGACACAGACCTTATGTGCATTATGGGGTTTTTTTTTAACCTTTTTAGTATTTGTCATGAAGATACCGTTTATTTTAAATACTTGGCATAACTGTTGTGTTTGAGGTTGCGGTTCCAGCCGGTGGGAGCACCGGGAGGGTTGTTCCAGGCAGCAGCTCCGTGGGTTTTACCCCCTTCCCATGGGACACGGGCCCGGCGCTGGGCTGGGCTGCGCCTGCTCCAACTCTCTTTACTCCAACTTTTTTTTTTAAGCCTTAGGTACTTTTTTTTTCTTCTTCTTCTTTTTCAAAGAGGCCTAAAACACATTGACCTTCTCTCCCCCAGCCCGGGGCAGGAACCGTCCCCTGGGGCTGCAGGGGGTCTCGGCAGCGCCCAGTGGGTGGAGATGGGGCTCTGCTCTCACCCCCCAACGCCCCCGCGCTCCGGGCGAAGGTGTGAGCAAACCCTCTCCCTCCTCCCTGCCCGCTCAGGGGGTGCAGCCAAACGCGGGCTTCTATGGATACAGTTTAATTAACAATCTGAGTCTTGCCCTGTCTGTGGGTTGTGACACTGTTGGGAACTCTCGAGCTGCGGAACCGGGGGGTCAAGACTCGACCTTGTTCCTGCCCCCCCGGCAGAGCGGCCGCAGCGGGACTGTACATACTTGTTCAGTTATTTTGACCAAAAAGTTTAATAAATTTTAAATGTTTACCTGGACTTGCTCTGTGTATTTTGAAAAAACTTCTGTTTGTGAGAGGATTGGCCGAAGGAGCCAGCCCCAGGAGTGTGTGTTTCCAGTTAAAGGTCAGTTGGAGCGGCCGCCCCCTCGGTGCCGGGTGCCACATCAGTGCTGTCTATTTTTGATCTATTTTTTCAGGAAATGTAAGTGGAATATGAGTAAAAAAAGAAAAAGGATATGATGAAATCTTCTATTATATAAAACATGATTTGCTTGTACCACTTTCAATTAAATAGTTTTTGATGATTCATGAAATTTTCATCATTTTGTTTTATCTGAAAACAGATTTTATTGTCAATTTGATGAAATTTATTATTCTTTCAGCTCTTTGCCCCAGACTCCCCCTTGGCTGTAGATGGGGTCGGGGAGCCCGTCCCCCCCGGGGCTGTGGGGTGGGTGGGGGCTGGAGTTGCAGTATTTGGATTTAATGTGATGAATTCCTGGTGGGGAGCGGAGATTTCCCGCGAGGCAGAGGGAGCCCCGGGCGCGGGGGGTTCAGAGAAAGGGGTGAAGGGCAGGGCCTTTTGGCTGAAAGAGGTGGCACTTCTGGAAACGAAACGGCGCTGGAGGGTCCCGTCACCCTCTGTCACAGCCTGGATTTTAACAGGAAAGTCACAGAAACCGTTACCGACCCCTCGGAGCCACCCCAGGGAATCCTGGTGCCGCTTCCGGGGAAAGGGAACACCCGGTGCCAAGGAAAGGGGCAGGACCCCCCCGCGCAGGGAAAGGTGAGTGCACCCCCAGCACCCCCTGGTGCCCCCAGCACCCCGGGCCTGAGGCGCTGGGGCAGCCGCTGGGGCTCAATAGTGTTTGTACGGAACCTTCTATTTAAATTTGGATGGAATGGCTTGAAAAAGTCTTATTTTCCAAAGGGGGAGCAGGTGCTGTGAGAGTCTCCAACAGTCCCTCAACGCCCGTGTTTAATACTGTTCTGGTGACCGCTGAAGTAGAGCTGTGCCCAGTGTCCCACATGGGAAATACATGTATCATATACCCAAATAATCCTATAAATCCATTTTGGGGGTTTTTTTGCAGGTATGTGCAATAGCAGATGCTGGTTCTCCTGTCACAGGAGTGGGTAAATTCAGTTCTCAGCGTTTCCAGCAGCCGCAGCAGGATTCCCCGGGGAGTGGAGCAGCGTCTCCCGCTCGTGGCCGCAGCCGATGCCGGCGCCGCAGGAGGCCCCGCTACACCCGGTGCTGCGTCCTTCTCGGGTCTGTCTCAAGCCCAGGTGAGAAACCAGCACCAACAAATAAGGCCAAAAAGCAGCGCATTTATTCCTGGGTGCTGATGGTGGTAGAAGCAGAAGGTGCCTTTGCCCGTCTGGGGAGTCTCTGCTCAAGCTGAAGCCCAAAGCACCAAAGCTTTTTTTCTACAGAAACTGCTAATTGTCAGTTCCGTGAGGAACTGTGAAAGGCTTAGTAACAGAAGAGCCTCCTCAGCCACATCCAACAGTTATTAGAGAAAAAGGAATGAGAAAACTCTAACTCCACAAGGAACCTTTTTATTTAAATATATAAAACATGATATTTTGGCAAACATTTTTTTCCCCTCATTAAATAAGATAAAATCACTGAATGAAAAGGCATTCCATTAGTAAAAACAAATAAGCAAGCAATCATTTTTTAAATCTATACAAGACTGAGGCAAATGTAAGATGCAAATGTATTGTTTTACAGATAAAAGCCTGAGAAGCGATAGGCTGCGAGGAGATACTCCAAAAGGAGCTGCTACTGATTCGGGAGCTAAGTAAATGCCTTTGCAAAAGAAGCTATTTATTAGGCACTAAATTCCAAATTTTAAGTCGGGCTGTTGTGCATCACACTCGGAACCAGTGCAAAGCATGAAGTGTCACTGGGAACACCCCTCCCCTCCCGCTGACGGTGCCCCCGAGGGAGGAGGAGCCTGTCCCCAGCGAGGCGGGAGCTGCTCGAGTTCCTGACTGTGATCCGTGAGGCCACACTTGGGGCTGATCCCTCCCCGCGGCGGTTGCAGCAGCAGCAGTGACGAACGCTCACAGGGATGAGCTGGGCTGAGCCCCCACCCCGGTCACAAGGGCTGCGGGAGAGCTGGGATTGGCTTTGAACAGTGACTTCTTCTAATTTCCAAGGTACTTCACTACAAAGCGCTACAGCGGCTGTTGATGCACCGGACACGTGCTCTAGAACTGACCCAGGGCCATGTATGATACAGCAGCTTCCGTCTCCTCCCCTCCCCACCACCCCAGGAACACCACCTCCTCACAACCAGCACACACTCATCACGGAGCCATCGCAGACGTTCCCACTTTTCCTCCTCCACTCCCAGATGGATCTTTCCCTTGCCTTGCGCGGGGACCCCAGGTGCCTCTAGAAGCTGCTGCTGGAAGCTGTGGTCGTCAGGCGCCTCCCGATGTAGACCCTGCGGATGCGGAGCAGACGGTCAGGAAAAGTCACACCGAGTGTGAGGAACACTCTCAACAAGTTAACAGGGATGCCCTTCCCAGCAGAGCAGCAGAGCCAGCTGTAATTAAGCAGGCAATCAAGGGACTGCTGTGACAGGCAGTTTTCAGCTGCAGGTGACAGAGCCCACCCCTGGGACAGCCCCCTCAGCGTTGTGGGTAACTCTGGGGGCTGCTGGGCTTCAGGAACAGGAGAGTGAGGTAAGTGTGGGGTTGAGGAGAACACGCTGCTTCAGCAGGGCTCCAACTCCCAGGGCTTGTTACCTTTTCCTTCTTAAGTTTTTCCATTTGCTAAATACCTCTGAAGCCTGTAAAATTCTGTCATCGTTTACTGTCACCTTCAGGCACTTCTCACTGTCTCCCAGCGTGGTGTGCTCCCACAGCAGCCCCACGCTGCTCCCTCTGCCCATCTACGTGCAGCACAAAGTGGTGCCTCAGAGGCATCACCCCGGCCCCGCGGGAAGCGCCTCCTCAGGGTGTGACTCTGTTCCTCGCTCACACGGGACAGGAACGACGCACGTTCACAGCAGCAGTGCAGTGACCAGGAAGAAAGTAAGTACCTACAGCACCAAACTTGGGGTTTTTTTGGAAGGAAAATTCCATTTTGCTTTTATTTGTCTTGTGCAGTTTCTTATTTTAACTTAGGGAGGAGTTATTAGTTTTGTGTTACTGGTACAGCGCTGTGTGGCCAAAATCTTCATTTTGCAGCAGAAGGGATCTCCTCTCTCTGCCCTCATCCATGCGAAATGATGCACAGACCTGGGCTGTCCTTCCCCCAGTGCCATCTCCTGCAGCCCCTCACACACCTCCCGGAGAAGGCTCGGGATGGATGGGAGGGAAGGAGCAGAGAAAGAGCAGGGCCAGGGCTCAGGGCAGGGTCCTTGGGGAACAGGCATCACCCCAGAACTCAGCTCTTCCCCCAGACCCTGTGTCACAGTGTGCTCCGGAGGAGCAGACATTTAGAGTCTTCTAACTGTGCTGTGCAGGTACCAGGGTAAAGCCCCCTGAGGCGCAGGGACACCCTCACCCTGCCCAGGAGGGATTTCATCCCTGCCCTGTGGTCAGTGTCCTGCAGCCATCTCTGAAGTAGGGCCCTATAACCCCGACATCACCTGAAGAAACCCCAGTTCCTGGTTTGGTTGGTGTCCCCTGAACCTCCCAGGTGTCAGTGGAGTTTTAAAATACATTTTTAAAAAGTAATTTTTTTCCTTTGCAATTAGTTGTGAGGTTAGAACTCCTCTCTCTAATGGAACAGAGTATTGCATGTGTGTAATTATAGTTCATCTATATATAAACCCTCCTAATTTCACTCCTTCATTATTTTGAAAAATTCTTAACTAGCAAGAAAAGCAGCAAAGGAAAACTCGGTACATTCAACAATCCACCAGACAAGTAGAAAGCACCTCCTGAGTGACTGTCCCCTGCTGTGGGGAGAAGTGTTACCCACCCTTCAGTCAGAGAGGGAACTGGGAGTCAGGATTAGGCCTCAGAGAAAATGGGTGACAAAAATCTACTTTTTTTTTTTTAAATTCCAACTTACCCTAGTCCAATGGCAAGCAAATGAGAAAGCAGCAGAGATGGAAGAAAAACCTTCAAGAATTCGGCTGAGAATATTCCCCCTTTCTTCATTACACTGGTATTCCTCATGCTGAGCGTGGCCGTGCGCCTGGGGTGCTTGAAAAGGAATTCCCTGGTTTTGAGGAAGAAGAGAGTCAGAAGATGAACAGATCCCTGTTTAGACACAGGGGAGCAGAAGGTGCCCCCGAGCTCTGCCAGCAGCAGCGAGCACTCACTTGGGCGGGATGTTCTCGGGCCTGCTGGACCAGTCCCAGATCCAGTCCGCGTTCTTCCGCAGCAGCCGCTCCACCTCCCGCCTCCTCTCAAGGAAATCTTCTTCAGACTGAAACACAGACCCCTGTCAGACAGGACTGGGACAGGCAGGAAGCAGTTCTGCACCTCACACCACGTATCCCCAGGTCAGGCACCTGCCAACCCTTCTCCCCATGCGCTGCATCCTCCAACAACCCTGTATAGTTTAGAAACTGTATGAAGCTGAAACCCCACAAGGTTAAATGCTGTGCAAACAGTGAATACACAGACTTTGGTTTAAAAAGTTAGTAACACTGGATGGAAAGAGATAATCCATGAAGGAATACACACAAAGCCTGATTCTGCTAAGATTAAGTTATTCAAGTCTCTACATTAGCAGCTGCACCTCTTCTCTCCTAATGCTGGTTTTTCGAAATTCTCTCTTCCAAGGCAAAATGAGATTTTTACCTGAAAGCTATTCTTTTCTCCGCTGCTGTGACTCTCTAATTCCAAAGCTCTGTGACTGTCCTGAGGCGTCTGGGACCGAGGAGGGCTTGATAAAAAGAGAAGTGCAGGTAAGAAAGAAGTTACCAAGTTTTTTATGACATCATTTATGGTATGCACTAAAAGCTAGTGAGTGAAGCTGCGTGCACAGCTCTCCCGAATTGCTGCACTGCCTTGACCATAGCTGACCACAGAGATGACCCTGTCAATGGGTGATACAATCCAGCCACCACAGCCAATTAATCTCTGATTAATAAACATCTGCCCCACAGCTGGCTGCACAGAGCTGTTTTCAGCAGCACAGAGACGCCTGCGGGGCTGTACGATCTGCCCGTGTTACCCACTAAATAACGACAGGCAGCAAACGAGGACCAGAAGCAGGGTCTGGCTGGAAGTCACAGTAGCAGGTAAGACCAGGAAGTTTGCATCCTGCTGTTAAACTTGAAGCTGCAGACTTCACAGCCCACCAAAACCAAATGAACGAGTGAGTAACACTGACTGACGTCCATCAGACGTAAGTTCTTTCATTGCATTTTACTCATAGAAATCTGTTGTTTTGTAAACTAGATACAGGACAATTCTTCAGTGCTTAGCTAAGAACTAGTACCTGATGTGCCTCATTAGGGAACACGTTCCTTTTTACCTCCTCTCTCTGCCACCCATCCCGGGCAGCAGTGTCAGTGGCACTACCTGCTCCCAGAGCTGCGCTGGCACTGCCTGCACGAGGGCTGAGCCTTGGGAGCGAGGGACACACACTCTGCTTATCGAATGCCAGTTCAGGACAGTGTATTCACCTTTGTGCATTAGAAACCGGGCTGATGTTGCCAGAATCCATTTACTGTGTGACCCTTTGCAGCTCCTCACATAGAATTAATCCCTACGAGTATGTGCTGCGTTTGAAGGGAGTTTGCAGGGTGCTCTGTACCCTCCTGTGCCACCCCCCTCCCGCAGGGGAGGAGAGCTGGTGTGTGGATGGCCGAGTGTAACTGCCCTGCCTCGCTCCCAGGCCCTTGGCTGGCCTTCCCTGGTGTGATTTATTGGGGTTACTGGTCCTGCGGGGTGTCCTATCCTCCTGGTATTTGCAGGTAAGCTTTGTGTAGTGCAGGCCATGTGTTCCTGTTGGTGGAAGGAGGTACTTGTGCGGTGGGACATGCGGAATGCTGGGCCATGTCCTCTGTTTGACTTGGTGTTGTGTTAAATTACTTAAAAGCACTGTATTTTTAACTAATTGTCACTGACTAACATTCTGTTAAAAGGGGTCTATTCAGAAATGAAATACATAGTTCTGGGGAGCTCCAATCTTAACTCTTCAGGGTAAAGAGTTTATTTTCTTTATTTAAAACCATACCAATTGCATTCCAAGTGCAGATGGAGTATTTCCGTCGGTGTGGTGTCCAGCTCTGCTCAGATCCAGAGAAGAGCTGTGCCGTGGTCTCAAGGCGCGGGTGCTGCCTGAGGAGATGGCGTGTGGGACACTGGTGTCTCTGCTGCTGCTGGTGACCACGATGTGGAGATCGGGTGGAACGTTTATGTACCCACCTGCTGGGTTTTAGATGGTTTTTTGCTGTGACTGATCCCTGAGAGCTGTGAATTGTCTGTTGCTGGTGCCGGGCTCCAGCCCGTTGGAGACAGACACCCAGCAGTGATGACTGAGGGCGCGACATTGTTTAAAAACAACTTATTTTTTAAAAGTCTTTGACAGCAACTTTCTTCAGAAAGAAACTAGTGTATTGAGTTAAAACCTTCCTAACACAGAAAAATGTTGGAAGCTGTAAAACTTGGTGTTGGTTACATTTGTGATTGTGTCTTCTCTCTGCAGTTTTTGAAGAGCCTGAAGACCCTAGCAGCAGGTCGTTTTTTTCAGAAATAATCTCGTCGATCTCCGATGTCAAATTCAGCCACAGCGGTCGCTACATGATGACACGAGACTACCTCTCTGTCAAAGTGTGGGATCTCAACATGGAGAACAGGCCCATAGAGACGTACCAAGTATGGCATCTGTGTCTTCTTAAATAGCCCTTCTTTCCCCTGCTCTACTTTGTCCTTATATCTAATGCCACTTTGTGTGTTCCCAAAGGTCCATGAGTATCTCCGGAGCAAGCTCTGTTCCCTCTACGAAAACGACTGCATCTTTGACAAATTTGAATGCTGCTGGAACGGTTCCGATAGGTGAGCTGGGGGTGGGCTGTGCCCCTTCAGCAGAACTTGACTTTGGGGATGGAATTCCTTACATTCCCATCAACTGGGTGGGCCTTGGGGGAATTTTTTGTTGTTGTTTTGGTGGTGGTGGTTTTTTTTCCAAAAGGTCTTCATTGTTCAATCCTCCCCCCTCCAGCTGCAGAGGTGGAATAAATTCCGTGTGTCAGTTTGCTTCCAGTGGGAATTATTCCTCAAGTTTCTATGTGTTTTTTTTTTTTCAAGCAACTCCAGTCAGTCTTTTCTGGAGGGGTAGAACAAGTCGAAGTGAGGCCTTCTCATTTTAAGGGGTGTTGTTGTGGAAGTTGGGATGCTCCCCAACTTTGAAATGGAAAAAAATGCTTGGCTGGGGGCACTGGGCAGCGCGGTCCAGTGGGAATGGTGTCGCAGGAGCTGTTCAGCACAGTGAGGACAGTGTGTGAGGGGGAGGAGGGTGAGGAGGCTGGCATTGTAACAATCCAAGAGATTTCTGCCATGTGGGAAACTGCTCTTCCACTTTCAGCTGCTGAGGATAGGTGTTCAGTACAGGAAATCAGGAACTCAGCCTCAAGTTGAAGCGTGTTTTTTGGGAGCTACAAAGCAGCTGGTCATTGCAAGTCAGATACCAGAAAGCATTTTCAGATGCAGGGTTTTTTCTGCCTTGTTCAAAAGCAAACTTGGTTCTGGGCAGACTCTGCCGTGTTCATGTGGGGCCATGTCAGATGCTCCCACGAGGGCTTGCTTTTGCTGATTCAGGATGATTTTTTGTAATTAATCCCTTGGGGTGCTCATGGTCCTCCAGGAAGCACTTGGATTTGTGGTAGTCCCTTGAAATTCAGCGTTTTAGGTTGGTTTTGCTTCCAGCATGACACCGAGGGGCAGAGCAGTGCTGGGAGCCCCCCTTTGCTCCCGGGGGGGATGTGAGGGCGTTGGTGGGTGCTGGGGGCAGGAGAGGGGACCAGGGAGGACCCGGGAGAGAAAGTGATAAAGCGCCAGAGTCAGAGGGGAAGAGACACTGATGCCACGTCCTGGCCACGAGCCGGGTCTGATGGTCACGGTGTGTGTGAGGGACTGGTCAAATCTTTGCCTTCTCTTCTGCTTCCAACCAGTGCTATCATGACTGGATCCTACAACAACTTCTTTAGAATGTTTGACCGAAACACGCGGCGGGACATCACCCTGGAGGCCTCTCGGGAGAGCAGCAAACCCCGGGCCATCCTGAAGCCCAGGAAGGTCTGCACGGGTGGCAAAAGGAAGAAGGACGAGATCAGCGTTGACAGTCTGGACTTCAACAAGAAGATCCTCCACACGGCATGGCATCCCGTGGAGAACATCATTGCTGTAGCTGCCACCAATAACTTGTATATATTCCAGGACAAAATTAACTAAAGGTGACTTGCTGGAGGACGGCGCCGTCGTCTTGCATAGTTGAGCTCGGTTGTTTGTCTGTAACAGAGAAGGCCTCGTTGTCCTCCCGGTGAAGAACATTGATGCACTTCCTTCCCCCTAGCGAGAGGCGAGGGCCTGGCCTGGCTGTTGGGTTCCTGGCTGGTTCTGGCTGGTGGGGCCGGGGCGGCCGGCGCAGCTTCCCGGGAGCGACCCTCGAGGGGCAGAACCGATGGATGGGGCTCAATGAGGCCAATACTCGAAACAAATGTATTTATTGAAGTCTGAGCCTTCCTTTCCAGTTTATAGACCAAAAAAATTTAACACCCAAGAAGAAAAAATTGTCATAAAAAATGTACTTTCTATCTCTCGTGCTCTTTCTCTGCTGTAATATTTGGGCCTTTCAAAACATATATTGTGCTTCACGCCTGTAAACATTCCTCCTCTGCCCGCGGCCGGGCTTCGGTGTTTTTACCTTCGAGCACTTCGGTAGGTCTTGAGTTGGGTTCGTAGACAGGTTTCCATGGATATTTACTCACCAACTGTATCTATAACCACACCTTCTGGTGTAAACCACTTAATAAAATAACAAGCTATAAAAAGTGTTTTTAAATCTGAAGGTATGTATTCAGTCTTTTTATTTTTTTATTGCATGTACTGAGATTGTGCAGAATAATCCTGGGGGGCAGATGTTTAACCTGTTTGCCCCAAAGCGTTGATTTTTGGCAGACTAATACAAACATTTTTATGTAGTATTTCGAATTCTAAATTTAGAGTTTCCATGAAATTGTCATTTAGTTCGAGTTGCACTGGTTTTCTTGTCCCATGCTCTCTGTGTAGCAGGCAGGAGACGGAGAAGGTCGGGATAAACCATCCAGAGCCTTAACCGGGAGTGACGCCCTGCGCGGGGGGGAAAGCCCCACCCCCCGCCGCTTCTCTTCTTCCAAGATAAAAGTTGAGTTTCTCTGATGCCTCTCAGTGGTCGATAGACACAGACCTTATGTGCATTATGGGGTTTTTTTTTAACCTTTTTAGTATTTGTCATGAAGATACCGTTTATTTTAAATACTTGGCATAACTGTTGTGTTTGAGGTTGCGGTTCCAGCCGGTGGGAGCACCGGGAGGGTTGTTCCAGGCAGCAGCTCCGTGGGTTTTACCCCCTTCCCATGGGACACGGGCCCGGCGCTGGGCTGGGCTGCGCCTGCTCCAACTCTCTTTACTCCAACTTTTTTTTTTAAGCCTTAGGTACTTTTTTTTTCTTCTTCTTCTTTTTCAAAGAGGCCTAAAACACATTGACCTTCTCTCCCCCAGCCCGGGGCAGGAACCGTCCCCTGGGGCTGCAGGGGGTCTCGGCAGCGCCCAGTGGGTAGAGATGGGGCTCTGCTCTCACCCCCCAACGCCCCCGCGCTCTGGGGGAAGGTGTGAGCAAACCCTCTCCTCCCTGCCCGCTCAGGGGGTGCAGCCAAACGCGGGCTTCTATGGATACAGTTTAATTAACAATCTGAGTCTTGCCCTGTCTGTGGGTTGTGACACTGTTGGGAACTCTCGAGCTGCGGAACCGGGGGGTCAAGACTCGACCTTGTTCCTGCCCCCCCGGCAGAGCAGCCGCAGCGGGACTGTACATACTTGTTCAGTTATTTTGACCAAAAAGTTTAATAAATTTTAAATGTTTACCTGGACTTGCTCTGTGTATTTTGAAAAAACTTCTGTTTGTGAGAGGATTGGCCGAAGGAGCCAGCCCCAGGAGTGTGTGTTTCCAGTTAAAGGTCAGTTGGAGCGGCCGCCCCCTCGGTGCCGGGTGCCACATCAGTGCTGTCTATTTTTGATCTATTTTTTCAGGAAATGTAAGTGGAATATGAGTAAAAAAAGAAAAAGGATATGATGAAATCTTCTATTATATAAAACATGATTTGCTTGTACCACTTTCAATTAAATAGTTTTTGATGATTCATGAAATTTTCATGATTTTGTTTTATCTGAAAACAGATTTTATTGTCAATTTGATGAAATTTATTATTCTTTCAGCTCTTTGCCCCAGACCCCCCCTTGGCTGTAGATGGGGTCGGGGAGCCCGTCCCCCCCAGGGCTGTGGGGTGGGTGGGGGCTGGAGTTGCAGTATTTGGATTTAATGTGATGAATTCCTGGTGGGGAGCGGAGATTTCCCGCGAGGCAGAGGGAGCCCCGGGCGCGGGGGGTTCAGAGAAAGGGGTGAAGGGCAGGGCCTTTTGGCTGAAAGAGGTGGCACTTCTGGAAACGAAACGGCGCTGGAGGGTCCCGTCACCCTCTGTCACAGCCTGGATTTTAACAGGAAAGTCACAGAAACCATTACCGACCCCTCGGAGCCACCCCAGGGAATCCTGGTGCCGCTTCCGGGGAAAGGGAACACCCGGTGCCAAGGAAAGGGGCAGGACCCCCCCGCGCAGGGAAAGGTGAGTGCACCCCCAGCACCCCCTGGTGCCCCCAGCACCCCGGGCCTGAGGCGCTGGGGCAGCCGCTGGGGCTCAATAGTGTTTGTACGGAACCTTCTATTTAAATTTGGATGGAATGGCTTGAAAAAGTCTTATTTTCCAAAGGGGGAGCAGGTGCTGTGAGAGTCTCCAACAGTCCCTCAACGCCCGTGTTTAATACTGTTCTGGTGACCGCTGAAGTAGAGCTGTGCCCAGTGTCCCACATGGGAAATACATGTATCATATACCCAAATAATCCTATAAATCCATTTTGGGGGTTTTTTTGCAGGTATGTGCAATAGCAGATGCTGGTTCTCCTGTCACAGGAGTGGGTAAATTCAGTTCTCAGCGTTTCCAGCAGCCGCAGCAGGATTCCCCGGGGAGCGGAGCAGCGTCTCCTGCTCGTGGCCGCAGCCGATGCCGGCGCCGCAGGAGGCCCCGCTACACCCGGTGCTGCGTCCTTCTCGGGTCTGTCTCAAGCCCAGGTGAGAAACCAGCACCAACAAATAAGGCCAAAAAGCAGCGCATTTATTCCTGGGTGCTGATGGTGGTAGAAGCAGAAGGTGCCTTTGCCCGTCTGGGGAGTCTCTGCTCAAGCTGAAGCCCAAAGCACCAAAGCTTTTTTTCTACAGAAACTGCTAATTGTCAGTTCCGTGAGGAACTGTGAAAGGCTTAGTAACAGAAGAGCCTCCTCAGCCACATCCAACAGTTATTAGAGAAAAAGGAATGAGAAAACTCTAACTCCACAAGGAACCTTTTTATTTAAATATATAAAACATGATATTTTGGCAAACATTTTTTTCCCCTCATTAAATAAGATAAAATCACTGAATGAAAAGGCATTCCATTAGTAAAAACAAATAAGCAAGCAATCATTTTTTAAATCTATACAAGACTGAGGCAAATGTAAGATGCAAATGTATTGTTTTACAGATAAAAGCCTGAGAAGCGATAGGCTGCGAGGAGATACTCCAAAAGGAGCTGCTACTGATTCGGGAGCTAAGTAAATGCCTTTGCAAAAGAAGCTATTTATTAGGCACTAAATTCCAAATTTTAAGTCGGGCTGTTGTGCATCACACTCGGAACCAGTGCAAAGCATGAAGTGTCACTGGGAACACCCCTCCCCTCCCGCTGACGGTGCCCCCGAGGGAGGAGGAGCCTGTCCCCAGCGAGGCGGGAGCTGCTCGAGTTCCTGACTGTGATCCGTGAGGCCACACTTGGGGCTGATCCCTCCCCGCGGCGGTTGCAGCAGCAGCAGTGACGAACGCTCACAGGGATGAGCTGGGCTGAGCCCCCACCCCGGTCACAAGGGCTGCGGGAGAGCTGGGATTGGCTTTGAACAGCGACTTCTTCTAATTTCCAAGGTACTTCACTACAAAGCGCTACAGCGGCTGTTGATGCACCGGACACGTGCTCTAGAACTGACCCAGGGCCATGTATGATACAGCAGCTTCCGTCTCCTCCCCTCCCCACCACCCCATGAACACCACCTCCTCACAACCAGCACACACTCATCACGGAGCCATCGCAGACGTTCCCACTTTTCCTCCTCCACTCCCAGATGGATCTTTCCCTTGCCTTGCGCGGGGACCCCAGGTGCCTCTAGAAGCTGCTGCTGGAAGCTGTGGTCGTCAGGCGCCTCCCGATGTAGACCCTGCGGATGCGGAGCAGACGGTCAGGAAAAGTCACACCGAGTGTGAGGAACACTCTCAACAAGTTAACAGGGATGCCCTTCCCAGCAGAGCAGCAGAGCCAGCTGTAATTAAGCAGGCAATCAAGGGACTGCTGTGACAGGCAGTTTTCAGCTGCAGGTGACAGAGCCCACCCCTGGGACAGCCCCCTCAGCGTTGTGGGTAACTCTGGGGGCTGCTGGGCTTCAGGAACAGGAGAGTGAGGTAAGTGTGGGGTTGAGGAGAACACGCTGCTTCAGCAGGGCTCCAACTCCCAGGGCTTGTTACCTTTTCCTTCTTAAGTTTTTCCATTTGCTAAATACCTCTGAAGCCTGTAAAATTCTGTCATCGTTTACTGTCACCTTCAGGCACTTCTCACTGTCTCCCAGCGTGGTGTGCTCCCACAGCAGCCCCACGCTGCTCCCTCTGCCCATCTACGTGCAGCACAAAGTGGTGCCTCAGAGGCATCACCCCGGCCCCGCGGGAAGCGCCTCCTCAGGGTGTGACTCTGTTCCTCGCTCACACGGGACAGGAACGACGCACGTTCACAGCAGCAGTGCAGTGACCAGGAAGAAAGTAAGTACCTACAGCACCAAACTTGGGGTTTTTTTGGAAGGAAAATTCCATTTTGCTTTTATTTGTCTTGTGCAGTTTCTTATTTTAACTTAGGGAGGAGTTATTAGTTTTGTGTTACTGGTACAGCGCTGTGTGGCCAAAATCTTCATTTTGCAGCAGAAGGGATCTCCTCTCTCTGCCCTCATCCATGCGAAATGATGCACAGACCTGGGCTGTCCTTCCCCCAGTGCCATCTCCTGCAGCCCCTCACACACCTCCCGGAGAAGGCTCGGGATGGATGGGAGGGAAGGAGCAGAGAAAGAGCAGGGCCAGGGCTCAGGGCAGGGTCCTTGGGGAACAGGCATCACCCCAGAACTCAGCTCTTCCCCCAGACCCTGTGTCACAGTGTGCTCCGGAGGAGCAGACATTTAGAGTCTTCTAACTGTGCTGTGCAGGTACCAGGGTAAAGCCCCCTGAGGCGCAGGGACACCCTCACCCTGCCCAGGAGGGATTTCATCCCTGCCCTGTGGTCAGTGTCCTGCAGCCATCTCTGAAGTAGGGCCCTATAACCCCGACATCACCTGAAGAAACCCCAGTTCCTGGTTTGGTTGGTGTCCCCTGAACCTCCCAGGTGTCAGTGGAGTTTTAAAATACATTTTTAAAAAGTAATTTTTTTCCTTTGCAATTAGTTGTGAGGTTAGAACTCCTCTCTCTAATGGAACAGAGTATTGCATGTGTGTAATTATAGTTCATCTATATATAAACCCTCCTAATTTCACTCCTTCATTATTTTGAAAAATTCTTAACTAGCAAGAAAAGCAGCAAAGGAAAACTCGGTACATTCAACAATCCACCAGACAAGTAGAAAGCACCTCCTGAGTGACTGTCCCCTGCTGTGGGGAGAAGTGTTACCCACCCTTCAGTCAGAGAGGGAACTGGGAGTCAGGATTAGGCCTCAGAGAAAATGGGTGACAAAAATCTACTTTTTTTTTTTTAAATTCCAACTTACCCTAGTCCAATGGCAAGCAAATGAGAAAGCAGCAGAGATGGAAGAAAAACCTTCAAGAATTCGGCTGAGAATATTCCCCCTTTCTTCATTACACTGGTATTCCTCATGCTGAGCGTGGCCGTGCGCCTGGGGTGCTTGAAAAGGAATTCCCTGGTTTTGAGGAAGAAGAGAGTCAGAAGATGAACAGATCCCTGTTTAGACACAGGGGAGCAGAAGGTGCCCCCGAGCTCTGCCAGCAGCAGCGAGCACTCACTTGGGCGGGATGTTCTCGGGCCTGCTGGACCAGTCCCAGATCCAGTCCGCGTTCTTCCGCAGCAGCCGCTCCACCTCCCGCCTCCTCTCAAGGAAATCTTCTTCAGACTGAAACACAGACCCCTGTCAGACAGGGCTGGGGACTGGGACAGGCAGGAAGCAGTTCTGCACCTCACACCACGTATCCCCAGGTCAGGCACCTGCCAACCCTTCTCCCCATGCGCTGCATCCTCCAACAACCCTGTATAGTTTAGAAACTGTATGAAGCTGAAACCCCACAAGGTTAAATGCTGTGCAAACAGTGAATACACAGACTTTGGTTTAAAAAGTTAGTAACACTGGATGGAAAGAGATAATCCATGAAGGAATACACACAAAGCCTGATTCTGCTAAGATTAAGTTATTCAAGTCTCTACATTAGCAGCTGCACCTCTTCTCTCCTAATGCTGGTTTTTCGAAATTCTCTCTTCCAAGGCAAAATGAGATTTTTACCTGAAAGCTATTCTTTTCTCCGCTGCTGTGACTCTCTAATTCCAAAGCTCTGTGACTGTCCTGAGGCGTCTGGGACCGAGGAGGGCTTGATAAAAAGAGAAGTGCAGGTAAGAAAGAAGTTACCAAGTTTTTTATGACATCATTTATGGTATGCACTAAAAGCTAGTGAGTGAAGCTGCGTGCACAGCTCTCCCGAATTGCTGCACTGCCTTGACCATAGCTGACCACAGAGATGACCCTGTCAATGGGTGATACAATCCAGCCACCACAGCCAATTAATCTCTGATTAATAAACATCTGCCCCACAGCTGGCTGCACAGAGCTGTTTTCAGCAGCACAGAGACGCCTGCGGGGCCGTACGATCTGCCCGTGTTACCCACTAAATAACGACAGGCAGCAAACGAGGACCAGAAGCAGGGTCTGGCTGGAAGTCACAGTAGCAGGTAAGACCAGGAAGTTTGCATCCTGCTGTTAAACTTGAAGCTGCAGACTTCACAGCCCACCAAAACCAAATGAACGAGTGAGTAACACTGACTGACGTCCATCAGACGTAAGTTCTTTCATTGCATTTTACTCATAGAAATCTGTTGTTTTGTAAACTAGATACAGGACAATTCTTCAGTGCTTAGCTAAGAACTAGTACCTGATGTGCCTCATTAGGGAACACGTTCCTTTTTACCTCCTCTCTCTGCCACCCATCCCGGGCAGCAGTGTCAGTGGCACTACCTGCTCCCAGAGCTGCGCTGGCACTGCCTGCACGAGGGCTGAGCCTTGGGAGCGAGGGACACACACACCCCAGGGTGGTTCATCTGCCAAAAGGTGGCCACTGCTGGCACCCCAGCAGCACTCCCGTGGGAAGGTCAGCTGCTGCTGCTGCACTTCTCAGCACATGTCAAAGCCCAGGGTGGCATTGTCAGGAGATGGGAGAAGTCTTCTGGAGTCCTCTCCCCTCTCAGTTCAGGACACAGAAGTGTCTACACAGAAGTGCTTGGGTACTCTAGTATTTAAATATGGACTCCGATCTTTTATATATGAAAGTTACCTCTCTCTCCCTCTCTGCAGGTGTGTATATCCCCGTGCATATGTTTACACGCACACATGTGTAAGCATTTCTATATTTGTCTTTGCCCCTTAGGCATAAGAATGGCTTTGTGTAACAGTGATCTTTGCTTACAATAAAGTGTTTTGTTTACCTGTCGCAATGTGAACTCTCTCTTGAACTGCTTCTTCCAGACTCGTGCTGAGCATCGAGGAGTATTTTCTCCATGTCACCGTTGTGGATGGAAATAGAGGCTGGTACCTGCTCCTGGCCGGTCGGCGTGGCAGCGCTCCCACTGCCGTTCCCATTACTGCTGAAGTGGAGCTCCACCCAGGAACCTGCGTGGGACCATTGCAAACACAACCAGAATAAACCAAGCGGTTTTGCGTAAAGGCATGTACAATATGCACTGCTGATCCTCCCCAGTGTGACATTACAGTGTGACATGCAACGTACCAGCACTGACACCTCAGCTAATAAACACCAGGGAATGCCAAAACGCGGGGGTGCTTTCCTTAGCGAGCTGGAACATCCCACAGAACCGGGGAGACGCTGGTCAGTACATTGTGTCTCTTTCTGCAGCTGAAGAGCTTATTTTGGGATGTGTTTAATTGTTATTGTTCAACACAGGTGGTAACCAAATGAAATAATCTCAAGGACTTTCTCCCCCAAAGTTTGTTTATTCATTTATTGAAAGTATTTTAGGCTCAAGAATCCAGTAACTGCATTTTGTTTAGCCACTTTCAGTAAGCACTTTTAGGTGTTGCTGTTAAGCAACAGAGGGTATGTGGCAACCACCAGATCATGTGTTTGCTACTCGCAGTATATTTAACACCAATAGTCACATGTTGCTTTGTTTTTTCTAAGAGTGTGCTGAATAACAACTCCCTCCTGAGCTAGGAGTAACCAGCACAAAAGGATCTGTAGCTGTTGTCTCATTTCTAAAGCAGCTCAAGGGACAGATAATATTTTAATAATACAATCATCAGTGAAATTCACCAATGTAACACGTTTACGTGTGTAACCAACAGCACACGTAGCCAGATGTGCTACTGCTCCCCCACCCCGGAGCAGTTCACAGGGATTTAACAGTCAGGAGAAGGAGAAATGGACAGGTGAGACCCCCCAGGTTGCAGAGAGCAGAGCAGAGGATGTCCAAGGCGTAAGGAGAGGGGAGACACAGAGTCTGGCCCATCCTGCTCCAGACGAGGCCGGGGCAGAGCTCAGGCAGTAAGTCGTGTTCCGGAGAATGGCAGAAGGGATAAGGGAACAGTTTGTGAAATAGAAACTTCAAATGCAGAAGGATGTTCCAGTTGTGAAGAGAATGAAGATTCATAAATGAAATGAAAACAGCAAAAAGCCAAACTGCTTCATCTGCATTAATGGCATTAAACTCTCTCCTCTTAAAAGCCAGATGACCACTAACTCTTCAACTGAAACATACCGGGTTACAGAGTTTTGAAGAAACATTTTTTTTCCGGATAGTCTCTTTTACTTTACAACTATTTTGTTGTTCTGGTTTGCCGGATAGCCTCTTTTACTTTACAACTATTTTGTTGTTCTGGTTTGTTTGTGGGCTTTTTCCCCTCCACGTGACCGTATGCGGTATATGTCTGGGGATGTGTTTATACCCAGACAAACCTTTCCCTACTCTTCCCCTCCGAGTTTACGAAAGCCCAAGAACGATTCCAACCACTGCAGCTGAAATTAAGACCGTGTCCAACCGGAGCTCTGGCTCCGGCCACCCTGAGCATGAGCCAGCTCCCAGCTCCCTGTGCCTGCTCCTCAGCTCGTCCCACCTCCCTCAGCGCAGCGAACAGCCCCCGCTGGCTGGGCTGCACCACAGCCCCCTGCCAACACGCTCAGGAGCTATTTTCTCCCATAAAGATGTGTGCTGTTTGAGCCACGCTCACATTTCAAGTCACCTGCACCACGGGCAAACCCAACTGCTCCACGCAGCAACCTACTGCTACCCACAGAAACCTTCCTGGGTACAGCACAGCCAACGCTGGTAGCACAGGGAGAAAACATTAGGGCTGTAACAGAAAGCTCACAGTACACGTTTTACACATTTTCTTTTTTTTTTCCCCTTTTATACACTTTTGAGAATAAGGTTGTGGTACTCCACTAGGAATGTACCATTATATTATCATTTAAAGATAAAAGAGCTTCTATTTTTATGAGTTAGGAAATACAAACAGATAAGAACACGTGTAACGTGGCAATGCAAACCAGACTGAGTCATAGGTAAGGATTTTTGAAGAGAATGATCTTCTATAGTGTTCTGGCCCAGGATACATACTGTGGGAGCACACATTAGCACTAAAAAAGGTACTCAATCAGCTCCAGAAATCTTATTTTCTTAACATATGGCTTTCAAAGCTCAAAAGAAAAAAGCAAAATTCCCCAGAAAGATGAGAACGCCTCCTTAAGTTGCTAAAGTCTCGGTGTAAATCACCCAATTTAATACGTCACAGCACACGGATCTTCCACTTGCAAGGTAAATCTGCTCCTGCCTTTTGCTGAAGGGACAAACACGCGCCCGACCCTGATCTCTCCTCAAAGGCAAATCCCGAACCGCCCGCAAAGCGTTTCTTTTGTCGGGGATTTATATTCCCCGCGGTGCACAGATCTCATGAGGGTCCTATTAATCCAGCCCCACCGAGCAGTTCAGCCACACCACCGGACACCGCGGCTCGTTAGACCGGCCTGTTCTTCCACCCGAGCCTGCGATCTCTCAGCCCGATCAGAAGCTCTGTACTCGGTTCAGGGAGCAGTGACCGCCAGGCCGCGGCACGGGCCGACGGGGGAAACGCGGCCCGCGCAGGGCAGAGGTACCGGGGAGAGACGCCCCAGGCCTCGCCCGCCGCTGCCGAGGGACACGGGGCCGAGCATCGAGCCCCCCGGGGCTGCCACCGGCCCCGCAACGGCTCCGAGACGCCGCTTCATCCCCCGCAAAGCGCCCGGGCGAAGGCCAGGGCCGGGTCCTGAGGTGAAACCCGACCGCGGCGGTGGCCCGACCGACCGACCGACCGACCGACCGCCTCAGCGCCGCGCAGGCCGGCGGGCACCGACGGAGAGAGGACGAGGGAGGCCCGGCCTCCCCTGGCAGCGGCCGCGGCCCTTACCCTGCAGGTTCTCCTCCTGCGAGCTGAGCCGCAACATGGCGCAGCCTGCCTTCCCTGCACCACGGCGGAGCCACACGCTGCTGGACACCGGGTGCTGCGGACGCGGCAGGACACGCACTGCCCGCCGCCACCGCCCCTCCCGCGGGACTAGCCGCCGTGACGTCAGCGGCAGCCCCGTCCCCATTGGTCGCCGCCGCGGGGCGGGGGGCGACGGGGCGGGGTCGAGCGGGTCGTGCGTTCCCTCACGTTCCCAGCGGCCCCTCGTGCGCCCTGGCGCTCGCGCACGGGCCCCGTCAGCGCTCGGCAGGATCCTCACCCTCCCCTGCGCTCCCTCGGGTCCCACACGGTCCCCCGCGTTCCTTCACGCTCCCTCACAGCCCCTCAGCGCTCTTTCATGCTCCCTCCTCGTGCCTCACGCTCCCTCAGGCTTCCTCATGGTCTTTCACGTGCCTTCACTGTCCCTTGTGCTCCATCACGGTCCCTCACTGTTCCTCAGGCTCCTTTGTGCTCCTTCACTCTCCCTCATGGTCCTTGAGGCTCCCTCGTGGTCCCTTATGCTCCTTCACACTCCTTTCTTGTCCCTCATGCTCCCCCAGGTCCCTCATGATCTTTCATGCTCCTTTACAGTCCCTCATGCTCCCTCGCTGTCCCTCACACCACCATGGGTCGGGAGCCCTTGGGGAAGGTTAGCTGCTGCTCAGGCATCCCGCAAGCCTCCAGGAGCAACGTCCCATGGTGGCCTCCGGCCGCAGCCGTGAGAGCCCGAGCCGAAGAACAGGGTAATTTCCTCAGAGAATTCCTCATCTTCCCGCTCAGTACCCACTGGGCACTGCACACGGCTGGGCACTGCACACCCTGTGGGCTTCCTGCTCCTCTCCGTAACCAAATACCGAGCTGCTTACATAGGGTTACACAGAGCAAACAGAAAGCTGTGCTTGGATTTCAAGGGAAACCATATCTGACTGCTAAAACACAAGTGGTGGCCTCTAAACCAGCCTCTGACAGCTCCCACAGTAATGGCACAGGGCCTTGAAGTAGGTAATAATGAATTCCTCCTCTTTTTCAGTGTTGGCTGGGGCTGGGATGCCGTCCGAGCAGACAGCGAGGGCTCTCCACATAGCAAACCACTTAGTAAAGACCAATGTTGCCATTGCAAACCAGGTGCTGATTTACTACTGGGTATTTATAGACACATACACAAAATTTTATTTTATTTAACTAGAGGATGGTTAAAGTGTTGTTTAGTTAATTAGAGGATGCAGGCATATTCTCTAGGTTGAAATTGTTTTCATTTGTGCCTCTCTGCAGTAGGGAATCGTGAAACCCAAGTGAAATATATCTTCTGGTAAATTTTTGGTAAGTTACTGTAATAGCAAGCAGTATTAACCTACAGCCTTCCCAGAAAGACAAGGTCAGGCTTTCATTAATATGTGCATTATATTCAGTACAACCAATGGATTATCGGGCAAAGTGGAGTGACGGTTTGGCCAAGGAAGGCATTTTCATTGAAAATTTTAATTGAATAACCGTTAAAAAAGCAAGTTCCTTATGTTTATGTATTTATTTATGATGTCCTCCTGTGCTAGGGTGAGGGATGGGCACAGACAGGGCTCAGAGCTGGGTTGGGTCTGGTCCCGCAGCCCTCTGCTGCTCTCTGCTGTCTGGCAAACCGCGCTCGGAAGGGAAATCCGGGCAGCCTTGGACACAGAAAGGGAGAACAAATTCATCATCCCAGGAGTGTGTTAGTCATCTCCAGGGGAACACTCTGCTTCCATGCCTCAGGGACTGCGACAGCCTTTAAGGAGCAGAAAGCTCACCGCTGTATTGACATGGATACGGGCTGGTTGGCTCAGGAGGGAAGAGGGTCACCAAAGCGACTGCCACCCCACTGACACAATCACCTTTCCAGTCTTCTTCCACCGAAAAAATATACACGTGGAGGAGCTTTACAGCCACAGGATATCCCACAGGCCTGGATAGCACTTTCCTCCACTCCAGGAACCAGCAGTAGCTCCACGATGTCACCACAGGCAGCAGCGTGCTGTGACAGTATCTCCTACCAGCACAAAAAGCCCTGACAAGTATTTTATCTTCTGGTGCTGTGCAAACCCTGAACATATCCTGTGTGAAGCAGTGTATTTGCCATGAGCTCTTGCCTGTGTCAGCAGCACAAATATCACATCACCTCCGAACTGGCTTCCTCTGTTACTGGCTTCTTGGAAACAACAGGCTCTTTGCTAGGAGGAATTTGTGCAAACACGGAGCTCAGTTGGGGTTTCCTGATGAAGTTGGGGTTTCCTGATGAAGTCTCTCCCCTGTTGTTCTCCTGGGAGGAAGAGAGGAGCTAACCCCACCTCATCCCCTTTGGAGGATGCCCTTCATTATTGGACAACTGTATGGGAAGGTAAGAAAGACAAGGCATTGCAGTTTCAAGTCCATTTTTTTCTGGTGTGGTGGAAATGTCTAGCTGGGGTGCAGTGTATTGGAATTGCCTACAGGCCATTAGATTCTCAGCTGCCCCAGCGTGCTGGTGAGCAACAGGGAGAGGTGTAGAAGGGAACTTGGAGCAATGCTCTGCACACTACCGTTAACAGGGAGATTTTGTTAAGGGATTTCTGGAATGAGTGGCTTGTGGGTCAACCCTTCTAAACCAAGAACTTACATCATTCATAGTAAAACTATGTTCCGTATTTCTACCAATACTTGACAGTACTCCCTCGTCCTCAGTGTCACTGCAAGGAGTCCTGGCCAGCCCACCAGCACACATGCTTCTAGCCAGCCCTTAAAAAGGAAGATTAGAATAATTTGCAAGCCCTTTGAAGGCAGGCAGCCAAAGGTGCAGTGTGTGGAGCAGATGTGAGCTGCCAGGGCTCTACCAGGTACCCTGTGCCACTACTGCCATCCTACACGACTCATCTCTGACACTCACTTTCTCTTTGTCTTGTTTTCTGTGGACTGATCTTGCCTTCAGGAAATCGATCTACCAGAAGCCCTTTCTGTTCTAAGGCCGGTATAAAGCAGGGTCAAGTTAATCTTCTTCTATACTAGTAGATGTCACAATACAGCTGTGACAGCTTACCTCTGGGATCTTTCATTAGTAATTGGATGAATGCATTTATTTTCATATAAATCTTTATGGTAAATGAGTTTTGGTTATTGCCAGAAAAGCACTCTGCTGGGATCATGGACAATTGTAAATTGTATTGGATGAAATCTTTAAAAGCTTATTGATTTGTTAAGCTGTGATCCTCTTTCAGGTTGGAACTCACTTTAATTTTGTTTACTTGCATGTCAACAGAACAATCCTGTATTGATTAGTTCCTTTAAATCAGAGACAGTGACCCACCTCCTCCGGTGGTGGCAATCTTTTAGGTAGTTATGAAGTCACACTTGCTGCTCAGACAACTTCAGCTTTGTGTTCAGTTTGTAGCATGTGCTTTTGTACCCACATGGCAGCTTGCAACAGTTGTGAGGAACAATTATTGTAGGCATTACACAAAAACTGCTTGTAATCCCAAAGGGATTATAAATTTAAATTAGTCCAAAAATTGATAATATTGATTGAAGGGCTTTTTTTGTTTCTTATTGATATAAATCAAAGTAATCTACACCAGCTTTGTAATGGATGCAGTGTAAGACATGGTCCCACCAGAGGGTAGCCTGAGGAGTGGTTGGGGAGAATGTGCCAACATCACTCCAGATGGTGACATCACTCCAGATGGTGACATCACTCCACACAACATGGGATGCTTTCATTACATGTCTCCTATCCCTCTTCAGCAGCACCTGTGTAAAACTCAGGGCCTCAAAAGCTGCTGAAATCTGAGAACTACCTGCTTTCAGCTGCTTTTTCCCTGCCAACAATGGCTTAGTTATTAACCTTCCTGGCTGCCTCTGGAAATCAAGCCAGTATGTATATTTTTATGCTGTGCATTTCTTGGAATGGTGTTCATCATTAACTACCAAACTGTTCTGAGATACTCATTTCTGAGCTGTTTGTACTTACCCAGGCTGCTGATGTAAAGAGATCTAATAGATACACAGTCTGTTGGTTTGACTTTTTTATATCTGAGAATTAAAAAACTGAAACAATCTTGACACAGTGAATTTAAGGATCTTATTTAATATATAGTCTAAAGAAGGAAAGGAATTAGGGGTTAGGTCTACACATGAAAGCTGCTGGTGAGGATTTTGGGTCTTTCACACATTTCTCCAGCAATTACAGAGTAAGGGGCTGAGGAGAAGATTCGTGCCCGGTTCCTGCAGATTGCTGCACAGTGCTCCATGTAAAATCACCGGGCTGACCTGCTGGTCTGTGTCTCAGAGAGGTTGTAAACAGAGAAAACTGGAAAAGCCAGAAATCAGAATGTTTAAACAAAAAAAACAGACTTGTGTTGGTTTGCTTTTCAACCTCTAAAATGGAAGAAATTCTGACTGCTTCTAGTGTGAATCAGAGAAGTGGAGCATAAACATTTTTTCAGCTCTTATTTACTTGCTAATATTAATTTTTTTAAGATCATTAACATTTTTGTCCTGTGTGTGATAAAGCCCTGAGCAGCGGAGTGCTTTGGAGAAGGCGGGGGATGCAGCTCAGGACATGGAAATTGCCAGAAGAATGCATTTTCCCTGGCACTTGCCAGCTGAAAAACAAAACCCGATTCTTTGAGTGATGTAAACTGACGACGGCCTCTCGCTTTACACCACTTACAACACTGCACTCAATGTTGTTTGTTTTACTTACAAACTCCCACAAAATGTTGCAATTCAACTCTAAAAATAGCAAATAGTTGTGTTTATCCAACAGTTCAAAAGCTATTGTTTGCACAACCCTCCTCAGAGCCACAGCCAGTCCCTGTGTCTTGATGGAGAAGGTTGCCGGGTTAAGTTGGGAGCCGGCTGGAGTCTGGGTGCTGGGGGGTCTGCCCAACACCGGGCAGGACGAGCTGGACTGAGGGGATCCAATTTAAAAAAGTGACATCCAAGCAAGGAAAAGCGCTGGGGTTTTGTTGAAGCTGAAGACAGAGATGTCTGGCGTTGGTAGGGCACCCTTGCCTGGGTGTGACACTGGAGTCAGCAGCTCTGTGTCTGCAGAGGGAATCCCCGATCCTGCCATGTCCCTGGCAGACTGATCTCTGCCCACAGACCCTTCCCCACCCATTCTAAAAACTGAGATACTCCAGGGTAGGTTTCTGCTTTCCAGTCCCGTGCACAGCTCCCTGTGCCTGTTGGCAGTTCAGTGACATTCACTGGGAGTGGTTCCCAGTCGTCACTGCCGGGAAGACATGAAAAACAAGTAAATAGGCCTCATGTCCTCTTTATTTGTAGATAATTTTGCAATGTGAGGCTGTTACAAGTATCTTGCAGCCAAATACATTCAATTTATCTGTATTGGTTATTCAGTTCAGATGTGAAGGGGAATTTTCAGTGTGGTGAGTATGAATATTGAAAGCGAGTAATTTTTCAGTTATGAGAAGTAGCGAGAGCCAGCACACGAGGGGTTAAAGACATGCTTTTCCTACCTGCAGTGCTGTAATTCTCAAATCATACCTTACAGGAGTTTGTAAAGACACCTGCCTTTCTCCCACCATCATACATTTCCCCATCATTTCAGAGAAGGGGTTACTCAGTGACACTGCTGTAAGAGATGAGCTCCAGTGCCTGGCCCTGCGCTTACACACGTCAGGATTTCCAAATAACTCGGTTCCATCTCCTTTGCTGGGAGCAAGTGCAAAGGCTGCTAGCTATTTTTAAATTTGAATCTCCTTCAGATCTTCTCTGCCCTTTCCAGTCATTGAGCCCCTGCTTCAGGAGGAGTTCCGTTCAGATTCCGTCTGTGCTGGATGCAAATCCTCGCCTTAATAATTAAGCTGAAAATGCAAGTCCTTCTGGCAGCATCCAGGTAACGGGGACCTCGGTCTGCGCTGGCGGGGAGCTGTTTTGTGCCAGGGGCTGGACTGAGATTTCGGAAAGGGAGGGCTCTTGTTTCTGGGGAGCTGGTGGATGACGTGCCTGCGCTCAGCTGCGAGCTGCAGTGACTCTGCAATGGCTGAGGGGCGGCTGCTGCATCCTCGCAGTGAGCTCATTCTCCCCGGAGGGAGCGGGATTTACAGTGCATCACCCAGCAACTGCAGCCTCCTGCTGAAATTCATCTTTAGCTTCTCCTCAGTTAGGCTGCTCTGAGGCTTCACTTTGGGGGTGTGTACATGGTGAGCAGATTTTACTGTATGGTTGATTTTTTTTATTATTATTTTTTCTTTTTCTTCTCTGTCCTCTAAATGCTTCCCCGGACTGATTGATGAATCATTTCTCATCCGATTCCACTATTCAGAGGACAGAGATGGAAAATATAATCTTACGCAGCAGGGATGGATTATTTTTTTTTTAGCCTTTTGCAGCGTGAATCGTAAAAACCCTTTTAAATCTGTCTGCTAGGAACAGCCTACAGGTCTTAAAATGAAGTGCACTGCAAGGAATGGTGCTCTCCTCAGGTAAAGCAGACAAGCAGTGTGCACCATGATGGAGCATGCCTGTGAGGTTAGTTCCTATACATGTTTATGCATATATAAATATGTACGTAATATGTGCTCTCTATATATCTATCTGTTACACATAAATCATCTGCTACCTAACGGCTTTATAGAATCCATTTTCAAATGTCCTGTTTTGCATTCTGTGTTTGGGATTTCCCCCCCCTTATTACCTAGTTTCTCTTTGGGGTGGTTAATAAACGTAGCTGGGATTTGCAGCAGCTCTGCGTTCGGATGCCAGCAGAGATAATGTCTCTGCCTTCCATTGGTTAAGTGGGCTGCTCCTTCCTGCTCCATTTATTCCTCAGGATCTTCATAGAGTCTCTGTCGTGTAAGATTGAGTTGAAATGTCAGGGCCTGTAATTGTTGATAAATGTCCTCTGCAGCAGTAACTGTTGGTGTTTCAGAGTAATACAAGTTATGATGAATTGCTGTAACAAAATAATCTGGTTTCTGTGCTCACTGAGTAACTCGTTTGGACATTTCCCATTTTCTGAACTCCAATGCATATACTGAATATCTTGAGAACTGCTTCTTATTCTGTGCTGTTTAACCTCTTAGATTAAAAAAAAAAAAATTCAATTTTTCCCAGCTGCTTGCTCCTTTAGTGGTTTTAAATGTTATTTATCTCATCAGGATTTCTTTTCCTTTCAGTTAATGTGCTGCGCCTCTACTGACACTGTTTAAAATGCAGACAGCAATTAGAAAGCAAATGCATTGGAGACAGATTGACTTTTGTCTGTTATTTCCCACACCATGATACTTGCAAAGAACTGTGTGTCGTATAAAATAATAACTTCCTGGCAGGAAATGTTGGGTGCTGTCAGGCTGGCTGGCAGCCCTCAGCTGACACCCAGCATTCCTAACCCACCACCTCTTGGGCACGTTTGCTCTGTGGGTGTTTCAGTGTGTGGTAGGTGCTTACAGCATGCTCAGAATTGTCAAGTTTGGTGTAGGGGCTGGCTTAACACTTTTGTGGTGGCCTGTTTTGTATTGGCTCTAGTCAGCTTTCTGAGTAGCAACTGCTTGTTCTTCACCTGGCGATATCGGACTGGTACAAAGCTCCTGTAGTGGTGAGCTGAAAGGCAAGTGGGACTGATGTGGGGATACAGGAACGCCTTGGCTGGAGGAAGTTGCATTTGTCACTAGGGCCCTGATGGAAAAAATAGCACCCATTTTAAGATGACTTTTAAGTGTGTGCTTAAGGCCCATTGGTAGTCTTGAAAAGCACAGTCTTGAATATATTTGTGGAACTGTGTGCATATAAATCTTTCCCTTCTTATATGCTCTGAAAGTGGCGGTTGTCAACACCTCCTACTTGCTGAAGTTTCAGTGAGTTTTCAAGTGCACTGTCAATTTGTTTGAAGAATAAAATTTTGCTTCACTTTTTTTTTTTCTTTCCAAAATCTATCTCTGAAATATTACCTTTTATTGAGGATGGCTCAAATTCAGAAAAGTGTCAGCAAATGAATGTTAACAAGTGAAGGCCTTTTAATAATGAGCTTTTTTATCACTTTCCTTTAAAACATCTAAGTTTATCATCTTCTCCAGTGCAGCTCTTCATATATAATTAACAGCAGAGGTTCAGCTTAAATGGAAAAATAAAAATAACGAAGAAAGTTCTAAAAATTTTACACAAAGCTTTGAACACAAAGCTGTTCCATCCAGCTACTCTGGTTGTAGGGCTCTACCAGGACTGAGTCATTTTAAGACAGGTAACAGCATTTGTACTAATATATCTTATGATAAAAGCAGTGAAATATTAGCCAATACTTCAGACTTCCAAATTAAATCATTCCTGTAATTCTGTCTTTATTTGACCACAACTGGCTTGTAACATTTATGTGCACACGAAGGAAAAGGGAAGCTTACTTGTCCCTAGAGCATCAAGTATTGGCTATTATTGGGAGCAAACTACTAACCAATCTCTGCCCGTTGTCTGACCTAGAAAGGCAGTTCCCTGATTTTCCTTTGGCACTTACAGCCAAGTGCTCTGTCGTCAAATAGCCCTAAAACCCTAAAAGATCTCAGGGATTTAATATAGTTCTGTAGAAATTGTTCTAATGGAGAATGACATCCTTTTAGATTTTTAAAAAAACTCTTGAGTTCTATGCAAATCCATAAATCATTACTTCCAGGAACACGTGATTAGGGATTTGTTATTCTCTGATGGTGCGGAATCAAGATGTTGGTTCAATAATTTTCGTCTGTGTCACTTCCTATATCCTCCAGCCTGACCCTGCCTTTTGTATTCCACAAAAGCAGAGGCAGTGTCTGAGGAGAAATTGTGCAGAAAGGCTTGGGAAAATGTCTGGAGGAGAGAATTTGTTCCCTCCAACAGCCACGCAAGCGGCAGGGTGTGGAGTGTTGTCTTTCTCTAAGCCCTGATGCTTTTTCGAGTTATTCCCTTTTTTGAGTTATTCCACTAGTGCCACAGTGCTTTGACCTTGACAAGGTCATCTGCAAATGGGGACCTTATTTTTCTTGGGGCTGAGATGAAAAGAAGAGTCTGTTTAAGATGCAGAACGTATTTTCTGTCCTTTTAACTGATGTTGCTGGGCTGTGGCTCTCTCCTGTCCGTGGGAGGCCGGGCTGCGGGGTGGGTGTCGGAGGAGGCGATGCCCCCTCAGCTCTCCAGACCATCTGGGTGAGGTGTCCCAGCTCTAACTGAAACCTGTGTCTGGTCTGGAAAGCTGCTGCCCAAATGGTGTTGGATATTGCAGGGGGCTGGGTTTGTCACAGCTCATAGCTGTGATTTACTCCTCTGGAAGGAGGATGGTCCAGGACCGCTGTTCAGAATGGCCATCAGCCCCTGGCAATCCCCATTCCTCTGTCTCAACCCTTTGAAAATCAGTGTAGATGTAATTGATTCAACTTGTGCATTTCATACCGAAAAGGCTTCTCATCTTCTTGCTGACAGGTTGTTGTGTCTTGCGTGACCCTTGGCTGCATAATAGATGTGTCCCTTGGCACGTACGGTAGGTAAAGGACAGCATTAATGAACTCCAGATGGCACAGACTGTATTTTACCGAGATGTAAATCTCAAACAAACTCCGTATTAATGGTGTTTAATTAAAAAAGAAATTGCACACAAAAGGCCTGATTCTGATGCCACCGAGTCAATGTCAGAAATCTTACTGACTGCAGGGTCTCAGGAGGTGCCCAGAGGGAAGACTTGGCTAAATATCCAAAGTGTCTGCAGATTTACTGCTTTGCACTAGCTTCTAGTAAGACTTTTACACTGATAATCCCACAGCCCTCCTGAAAAGTTTTTGCTATATTTTGCATTTTAACTAATTCTATACTAAAATAATGATTTGAGTAATTTGATATTGGATTACTTTTCTAGCTGCCTCCATAACAAATGAATTTTAGCCATGGTTTATGATAAGAATATGTCTAGTTTGGAGGAGGACAATGCTTTTAAAGCAAATCTCTTGATTGTACCCATTTGCACTTGAGTTTGCATGATGGCATGGTCTCAGCATCCATGATCCTGATTCCTTTTGGATAAAACTAGATCAGAAGGTGTTTTCCAACCAGTAACTGGTGCTTACACCACAGGATAACACTGGATTTTGAAGTTCTGTCAAAATGTTCCATAATGTTGGCTTTTTATAGATACAGGGTTCATTCTTGTATGTGGTATTTTCTTATTCTGTCTGAAAAGAAGTATCTGCAAAGGAAGTTGATGAGAAACTTGAAGGCATACTAGAAATCTAATAGAACCTGGCTCAAAGACAGGAACCAGCAAGTACTGGGTGTTGGTCCATAGCAGTAAATATCCATCATGATTCATGGGAGACCTGTTGGCACTTTAATCTTTACACGTTGCTTTTGTTGTTAGCAGTATAAAATGATTAATCACAACTAATTATTTCATTATTGTCTAATTACTTCTTGCATGCTAGGGCAGGCCAGATTGTGCCGACAGTATTTCTTGGGAAATACTGTTTTGTGCGGGATGGGAAGGCAGGTCATATGTGTGGTTCAGTCAACACAAAGTTTCAGGATCTCGAGTTTGCATCCAGAGCAAAGTCAGGGGAAGCTCCAGGCAAAGGAGATACTTGCATGGAGTTAGTAAAGTAAACATACAAAGGGTCTTAAAGGAAAATTTAACTTGATCTGTAATTATAATAAATAAAAGGAAAACACACTGGCTTAAGGGTTGTTATTAATCCATTTTCTCTCAGATAATGCTTGCAGTTAAAAACCTTTTCTCTCCAATCAAAGCAGGGGATTTCTAGTGTTTTGAATGGCTCCTTAAAAACTTACTGTAAAGTAATTGTGGATCACTTTTTACTGTGTAAGCTGTCTGTTTTACCAGTTGTCCTTGAAGGAAGCATTATGGATTTTGTTTTTGTAAACAAACATCTGGTATTTCCACAAAGCCCCTGGCAGTGGCCACAGCTGGGAGCGCTGCCGGGGGCCGCAGGAGACTTCCCTTGGTGCCAGGGGGTGCCGGCAGGTTCGGGGCTGAGCAGCCCTGCCACGCCAGTGTGAAGGGTTTATTATTTATGGTGCTTGCAGAAGGATCCATTATACAGTTTGACACTTTCACCTTTTACTTGTGTCTTCTTTTTTCTCCCTATTTTATGCAAGGCGTGATCAGGGGCTGCCCGGGTTTGCCCACAGAGGGGGTGAAGGGGCAGGGAGACTCGCTGTGGTTATTTCCCCG